TTTGATGATTTTTGTTTTCTTAATGGTGCAAGTAGTTTTCTAAAATGGATCTTAAGAGCGATTGGTTAGTAAATATTTAGTTTTAATACCTCTGACGGCTCTACGAAGCCTATAAATGATAGCGCAATTAGAATATTTAAGAGGAGAGTAGAAGATTATTTTGAAGAACTTGTTGAATTTAAAAGGCCTTTGGGGTCGAATTGTCGTAAGTTAAAACGTTCTTCTTTTTGAAAGGTTGTTTGGCTATTGACAGTTTTTAAGCCTGTCACTTATTTTATTAATACTTAAATTTAAGCATTTGTAAGGTTGTTCGGTTTATACTTCTCTCCATTTTTTTTGTAATAAATTGTTGTTCGATTATTTCCCCAAATTTTATTTGGTATCAAAGTTTCGTTAAGTCGACCGGAGTGCAACAAAAGTAGAATCAAAGTTTGCTAAAGTTTTGTAGCTTGATCTCTACACTTTTCATTTCATTACATGTTAAAAATAAATTATTTTATTATGATAAGGGAAACATTAAATCCAGACTTTATTTAATGTAGTTTTCACGTGGGAAGCGATTGCCTTACTCCGATTGCCTATGAAAAAGGAATAATAACGTCTAAGCAAATATTTAAATTAGCTGTTAGTTAAATAGTATCTCTTAGATGAGGTAACTTTGATGCTATAATATTAATAGCTTCCTATTGCCTTTTTTATGTAATCCATTTTCAGGAGAAATTTGGCTACCATTTTAATTTACTTGATATTGGCGGAGGTTTTACAGCTTTTTCAGCCCTAGAAACGACCTTTGCGAAAGTTAATTATATAAAATTTAATATAGCATCGATTAACAGATTCTTTATTTGACTTTGCAATGTGAGAAATTCTAACTTACAAATATGTGTTTCCAAATTTTAGGCAGCTGCAGTTATTAGTAAAGCATTACAGAAATATTTCCCTCCGGAGTTGGGTGTTAGAATTATTGCTGAACCAGGTTATTAGTTTATAATATAGCACATAGTTCCTTAATTCTATATAATGCGCTAATTTTTGATCCATTTAGAAGTCATCCTTGAATTTGGAGGGAAAGGATAACGATGCCAGGGAAAGATAAAAACATGAACGGAAATATGTGGGGGTAAATAAGGTTACTCAAAAATATGACCGTTGCTGCGGACAGTTAAAAGATTTTATTAAAGCTAAATTGAGCAGATCGCGGCCGATCTGCAACGGAACTTGTTGCCAAGAACTATTTATAAATGTTTGTGAATGTTGTTTTTGAAGGGGAAGAGTTAGGAAACTGTTTTCTCAACTCTATCCTAGCTATCCATATCATTGTTAATAGCTGTACTGTAAACTATAGCGTACACGTTACGGTACAGAAATGCGAAGTATAGGGGCGATATTCGATAGTCCCTGTCCCTGCTGTACAAAAATGCAAAGTGTAGGGACGGTACTTGATACTTTTCTGATGTGTATTAGAAAAGTATCCAGTAGTCTTTGCTATTTGTACGCATTTAACCTTCGCGTTAGCGGCAACCTATCGCAGATAAAAACAATCACATATGACCAAAGGTAAATACGAAAGAAAGCAGGGCTTTCCTCCAAAGGCATTGTTATTATCTGAAAATCAAAAGGTTGGGTATACAGTAGTTACTAAAAACAAGATATGACATCTCATTGGCTAAATAGATATCCAGCAGCGTCATTGTTAATAACTACACAGCTGCTCCATATAATTATTAGATTTGCATATAATTAATAGATTTGCAGCCAAAATTTCTGTAAGTGTACTTGCATAACGTTCCGTTAAATATACGCTAACAGGTTCAAATGTAGAAATGATCTTGCGCAGCTATCGCTATGGCCCCTCAGTCATAAATTTTCAATTGTCAGTTCCATTAAAAGTGAATAAAAGTGATGCCCACTGCAATACCGAAAGTCATTTAGGCAAATCCTATGTGGATATTGACTATGTAATTTATTAGTGTCATAACAAGGGTATGCCGCAGTAACAAAACAGTTCGTAAGTCAACAGTATGTTACAGGTTAACTATGTTAGTAAACCGTATGCTAAAATTTAGTACATATATTTAATGGAACGTTATACAAGTACACTTACAGCTCTTTTGTAAATTTCCAACTTAAAATTTTGGCTGCAAATCTAATATTTCATTGCACCAGCTGTGTAATTATTCATAATGACACTGCTGGATATCTATGTTAGCCAATGAGATATTTTTGCTAGCTGTACCCATAAATTTAGTATGTATATTTGATGGAACGATATGCAAGTACACTTACAGATCTTTTAGTAAATTTCGAACTTGAAATTTTGACTGCAAAACTAATAATTATATGCAAATTTAATAATTATATGCAGCAGCTGTCTAGTTATTAGTAATGACACTGCTGGATATCTATTTTAGCCATTAAGATATCATTTCTTGTTTTTTGATAGCTATAACCAGATAGTTGCATAGAATTCCGCAATATCGTCGATTTTCTACTCTTTGCAAGTGGCCTTAGTGGCTGACGGATTCACTTTCAAACATCGTCCAGTCTCAACATTAACTTCAAAATTATAGGCATGACTTGTATAGTAATCCTACGCTGACTTAATCATACAGTAATTTTCTAAAGATTGTAATCTTGATCTTAATGAATTGAAGGAGAAGAATAGTCGTGAATAGCATACAGTCCATGAAGGTCGTGAATATTTATTTCTCTTCAATTGACACACTATCAATCCATCTTTTCGTAGACTTTGACACGTGTAGCTCGTCTATTCAATTCAATAACGCCATCAGGATGGAACGTGTGGAAATCGTACCTAATCTATCCCTACAGGAACTCATTGAAAAGAAAACGACAGCGATGGACCAACAGGTAAACTTATCATAATTGACCTGATAATATTAACGTACTAGATTTCATGTTCAATTAACTCGTACGGAAAATCATTTCATATTCCAAATGAAGAGTACAGTACTGTACTATCATAAAAGTGAATTGTTGCTATGAATTAATCGCTGCGTTTTGCAGACATCCTTCATCCATTCAAAATTGTTATTATTATTAGAGATATTTCAATTTTTTTCTTACGATCATCATTACTCTTGTCAAGAGAAGAACAACATTTTCGCATCTAGGTTTAAAAATGTTTTTGAATTATATTTCTCTACAATCATCATTACTCCTGTTATCAAAAGAAGAACAACATTTTCGCGTCTTATATAATTCCTACTTTTATTTTGCATCTACTTGTGCTCATGATATTTATATTTACTCCACCCTTTAATGAAAATGCTTTTATTAGTTTAAGGACGATTCATTCATGTTAGTTAACATCGGCAATATAATAGAACGATATCGTGAGGTAAGAATATTTTGGGTCAATATTTGCCTAGATACGATAAAATTAATTAGCAGTAACATTCAAGTAAGAGATAGTATATAAATAGATAGTCAAAGTAGTGATTTTTCTTATTAAAATTTGATAATATTGTACTCATTATTTCCTCGGCAATGGTTAAAATAATAATCAGTGGAAAATGCGATTGCCTAATGTTGAACCCTTCTATGGTAGGTAGACTTGACGAAGCATGTTTAAAGATACAAATAGAGCGACAATTGATTCTACCAGTAATGTAAATCAAGTGAATAAACTTATTGTCACTAACGAGCGTGCTAATCTTATCTTTACCTATCTCCAATTGGATCCTTTTCCAGCTGTCAAATGCAATAACGATCCAGTCTTACTACGTATCTTAATCAACTTGGGAGTTAATTTTGACTGTGCAAGCATGGTAGGTTCATAAACTGCATAACAGTCGGCTAATAGTTAATCTATGATCAAGTTGACGAATATGTTTATTATACGCGTACTTGCAGTTTTAACTAGCAAATTTATAACACAATCTATTGCGCTAATAGTTCTGCTATAGAATTACAAGTACATTTTCAGGACCAACTTCTTCTATTGATTATGGTACATGATGAAATTATAACACCTTATGTGGACATATTCTTAATTTCTATTCTGCATAGGCTGAAATGCAATTAATACTCGATGCGGGAGTTCATCCGGATAGAATTGTATACGCCAATACTATCAAGGCTGTATCACATCTAAGGTAATAAGTGAAACATAAATTGAAGCTAAATTTCTGTCAGAATTATACAGTAGGATATCCAGACTTCTTTAGGCTCGTTGAAACGTTAGAAAACTATAAAAATCATGTTCTTTATAATACTCAAAGCGGTATTAGGCTTCATAGCATACTTTATTATTTGTCAGATTTGCAAAGGAGAACAATATAAATCATACAGTGTTTGATAATGAAGACGAATTGCATAAAATCAAAAAATATCATCCAAATGCTAAGTAAGTAAAAACCAATACAATTTCAACGATAATCTATTATTAGAAAACATGCTTAATTTTCTGTAACTTACGTCTACTACGCTGATAATTGTAATAAACTTGCAATAGTAATTTGCTAGACGCAATATGTATTACCGTAAACGTCTTCAGTAACACTATCAAACATTAATTCATCGCAGGCTGGCATTAAGAATTTGCCCTGATATGAAATCATGCGAAAGTAGATTTCAGGTACTTAATATACAATATTCTAATAAAAATCTTCTACTATTTCGGATAATAACCTTAACGAAAGAGATAGCCGTAAGCATGGATCAATTTTTGCTTGCTAAAAACTGCGTATTATGATATAAAATTAGCTTGGTATAAAATTTGGAGCACCTGAACGTGATGTAGCCCATTTATTAAAAGTAGCTCGATCTTTATCATTAGACGTTATGGGCGTAAGGTGAGTAAGAGCAGTGATTACAATTATTACAGTAGATAAGGTGGCTTGCATTAATGTTTCAACTTAAAGTGATTATTGTTACTTAGTTTTCATGTAGGAAGCGATTGCCTTAATCCAATTGGCTATGAAAAAGCAATAATAGCATCCAAAAAAATTTTTAAACTAGCAGTTAGTTAATACACATCTCCTTAATCAAATTCGCGCTTTTTCTTTAACATAGCAGAAAACGAGAGTATTATCTTTTAACGTGTGTTTTTACGAAAATTAAATGTTCAGGAGAAGTTTGGTTATCATTTTAAAGAACTCGATATTGGTGGAGGTTTTACTGCTTCTTCAGCTCTAGAAATGACATTTGAAAAAGTTAGTTATCAATACTTAGTAATATTATTGAGATGCTTCTTGATATTGTTACAAGAAATGAAAATAATAGAAAATATGAATAGCGTGTACTAGTTACACAGTATTTTTATAAACGCAATAATGAAACATGTTTACCCAATTTTAGGCCGCTGTAACTATTAGTAAAGCATTACAGGAACATTTTCCTCCCGAATCGGGTGTTAGAATTATTGCAGAGCCAGGTTGTTAATGCATAACATAGAAAATGTAGAATTTTTAGAGATAACATTCTAGTTCAATAAGTTACGCTAATATGTATATGGTAAGACAAAGATATGACATACGAATATAATGCGTTACATATTTTTGGGATTAAGTGCGCTGTTCTCCTTTTCATTATTTAAGGAATACGATTTTGTGATCGATTGATAGATGTATCAATTAACGATGACATATCTAGATAAACATAGTCGTAGTAAATTAGTTATAATTACTAAATGATAGTATTCTAGTGACGCACGGTAGCTTTTGGTAGCTCCAGATAAAGCGACTATGATTACTGTTTGTTTTATAATAGTTTTATCTATATAACTTCTAATACTGTACATGATGTTCTTATATGTATGTTTTTTAGGACGTTTCTTTCCCACCAGAGCATATACTATAGTTCTGAATATAATTGGCAAAAGAGTTGTTCGAAAGGGAAACAATGATCCATTTGACTTGGAGCATGGTATGAACTACAGCTTCCAACAATAAATGAAATGGATACTTGTGCTATTTGATATATTAATTATCATACAATTAAATCAAATATAATTTCTAAACTTGCTCGAAATAGAAAATGCTCATCTGTATGAAAATACAAGCGATATCGAGGTAATCTTTATGTCAAAGGAAATTTATGATTGCTAAAATTAACATTTTATCCATGTTCAGATGATCATTTTATACTTATTTTGTAATAATTGCGACATTAAATGTCTTTTTTGTATCTTTAGAAAGTGTTGTATTACGTTAATGAGAGCGTATATGGCAGTATTGGCTTTATAACTCTTGATCCTACCCTAATTATTTTGAAGCCGGTCAAGAAGAATACGAACGGTACAACGAATGCAGTTTTATTTGGTCAAACGTGTCATTGTTCCGATCTGTGTTAAATGAATGTTCCTTACCAAAGGTGCTTAAATCTTTGATGATAAAAATAGATTTATATTCCACATAAAATAATGCTTCTAGATCAAGCTTGAAAGAGAATATTACAAGAGTATTTGGACCAATTTAATATTATTGATTTTTATTTTTAATTCTAAATTATAAATTTAGCTTAATGCTGGTGACTGGATATATTTCGAAGGTAAAAAATTCAGTTAAACCTTATTCAATTAAACAATATGTGCTATACAACATGGGCATGAGATTTGTCGAGTCTACTTTGCATACTGTACAGTATGGCTACTAGTCCATATTGATTTTCATTTTATTTTGTTTTCTCCTCTCATCTACCTATACATACTACCCAATTGAATTCGCAGAACTTGGAGCTTATTCACTAGTTCTGGCCACCGAATTTAATTCATTCAAGAAACCAAAATGCTTCTATTATATTCAAGAAGAATTTTGGTAAAAATTATAATTTTTCGGTTACCAGACAGTAAGCAATGACTAAACGTTAATTACTACTAATGAAATATACATTTTATTTTCTAGGAATGAAATTCAAGGGAAGATTGATCTACCTTTTGATTTTTACAACATGAGCTAATTCATTAGAAAACATGTAATTAAGGTGTCTAATTCATTGTCTTAATTCACAATACTATATGTAAGCAAGAATAGCGTAATATCTAATTGTGAAGAAATTGAAATGAATAAATTACTTTAATTACCAATCATTAAAATGTACTGTATGTTTAGTGCTAGTGATACTCTCGCCTGTGGGCATAGCATGGTACGACTATCCATTCCTTTTTGTATTCTACTATGCATACTTGATCTAATACGATACAAATACAAAATAGCTTCGGAATTCATTGATAATTATGATCGGAGTGTAATGCTGTTATGTTTAATCATTGAAAACTGCTAACAAATTAAAACCGCAAGGACATCTTTAACCTTTGCTAAGGAACAATAACTAACTTCTTTATTTAGAATACTAACACTTATATACGTAGCGTCTGTACTGATATACGTATTTCCTGTACTCATAGAGTTTTCCTACCAGATTTGGTTGAATGAGGCATTTTCAAAGCGTTAGGTCTATAAGCGCTGCCACCAATTGTTATGTTTAATCACTGTAACTGCTAATAAAATAAAATCACTCGGACAACTTTATCCTTTACTAAGGAATAATAACTCACTTTTTTATTCAAAATGTCAACACTTATATACGTAGCACCTGTACTGATAACTAGGCATTTCTAAATGATAAACCCTGAATCGCACCATATGTATAAAGATACCATAGATTTCCATAACAATAATACCATATTACTGCCGTTAATGTCAATCATAACAAACACTATCAAAAATTAGATAATATTGTAGCTCATATGTTCGTTTCTGTTAATATAAAGTTGAGTTGATTACAATAAAAGTTTTCTAACTTGCACTAGCGGTAAATTCATTATAAGTACGATGAATTTTTAATTGTAGTTTACTTACGCAGATAATTTAGAAAACATTCAAATCATAATCAATTTTCTGTGATTTTAGCTTGTGTATATCGTATCTTTTGTAAATCTGATAAATTTTTAAGATATACTATCATCATCACAGATATAGAAGTTCTTTTCTCATAGTTAAACTAAATCAATATGTTATATGCGATTGTAGTAATATGTTGATACTTTTATTTACTTCTTTATTTACGGCCATGAGAAGCTAATAATAATAGCTTAATGGGCTTCGAACAATACCATTAAGATTCTTAATATTAATCTAAGTTGATAGTTTTATAGAATTAGCACTTTAAAATGGAGTAAAATTCCAAAATTAATGAAAAATTTTTACCATCTTTATCGTCTAATAGAAGATTAGATCAAGAAACATTTAGAAATATGATTGCCTAATCAAAAATTAGTTAAAAAAATAGTCAATAATTACACGATTTAGCAAAGAAAGGTTTTGGATAATTCGAATAATTATAATTATTTATACAGTGATAGTTGAAATGATTATAGGCCATTACGGCCGAGACTAAGCAGATGGATGATCATCGGATCATAAAATTCGTATAGAGAGTTCAAATCAAGGCATAAAACTCTAGACAGCTGTATAATGTCAATTTTACTATAGTGGTATGAACAACTTGGAAATAAATTAAGACATAATGGGAAAGTTGCCTCCTTGAATTTACTGACCACAAAGTCGACGCAATATCCATAATTTGTGTATTTGTACTTTTCATGTTAGAAGCTTTAAGAGTGCAGTATCAACTCAGATCGATGTTGGACATGGTAAATTATTGGCTTAGAATAGATTAAATTTATAGTAACATTACAATCAAAGGCCTTGCTTACATCTTGAAATATTGTCAAAAATTACCTATTAAGCTTCTACGAAGTGACCTAAAATAATAGATGACTACTGCCTAGGCGAATTAGATAAAGATGCTAGTGATGTGTCTAATTTGAGTGGAGCAGTGTAGGTTTTGATAGTCAGTTCGTCTTGAAGAATAGTAGTTTTTTGTTGTAGCATATTGACTTGAGATTTCAATGAACGGATTGTATCTTCTAATTCCTGTAAGATTTTAACCGCTTTTAAAATCGTATCAAATATCTACGATATTGGCTGTTAAGAGAGCTATTAGTCTAACTGTAAGTTAATGCTGAGCTATTGCAGAAAATCGGATTCGTAGTGTCAAAATCTTGATATTAAATATGCAATGTACGTCGTTTACCTCTTTCATTTCTGCCGATATCATGTCCTTGATCCTATCCTCATATTGTAATTGTAGCCTGGATATCTAATAACATGAAGAGTTAACCAGTTGGCAGAATATGTCAAAATCTGTATGTTCTTTCTCTGTGTATTAATTTACTCTAATTTGATCGTAATATAGTTCATAGTAAAACACATTGTAGTTTAGTACATGTAAAACTGTAAAATATGGAAAAATTGCAACAGAAATAAGATATACTGTTTAATTAGGCTAATTCTTCCTTACCTTTTCTTTAAATTCTCGTTCTTTCTGTAATGACTGCTTCTCAAGTAGTTGTATATTAGATTTCTGGTTATTAATTTCATCTTTAAGTGACTGAAATTAAGTAGATATCATAAAGAACCGCTGTTAGAGAATAGTCAGATTAATTAACCATCTAAAACTGTAATAGTATCTAATATTACACTTCTTGCATGTCTTACTTAGTAATAAATAAATTATAAGAACTCATAACTGACCTTGACAATACCGGAGTGGCGCTTTTTAACATCTTCGATATCTTTTTGATTATTACCATAAATTTCGGCTAGTTGTTTATTGTGTTCATTTTGTAGACTAATCCAGATTAAAAGTGTTTACTTTAATATTTTTCAATAGCCAAACTACAATAAATAGGCAACTGGATTACTAGAAAACTTATTTAAAAGATTAATAATTTTACTTTGAATTTTCTTCTTTCCATGCATAAGCTTGATTTTGCAACATTTCTATTTTCTATAATATGGAAATTAATTTTGAAATGGGTTACAGATAAAAATATTTAATGAGTTGACATCGAGTCATATTAACAATGTGACATTCTCTTTCGACAGAAATCTGCCTCGTGCAAATAAAAATATAGACAAAAGTGATCTAAGAGTATTTAAAATTGTTTTCTCTTTACCTCAGTGGCAATCCTAGTTTGATCCTTGTATTCTGTGTCAATTTGGTTAAGTCTATTATTAGTATTTTGTAATAATTTCTCCATTTCATTGCTATGATCTTGTTGTAGCTTTAACTTTTCTTGTTCCATTTGCGACTGCAACTTGTTAGTGGCTGCTTCTTGGGCTCGAATAGCAGCCTGTTTCTCATCTTCTCGCAGTAATCCCAATTCGACAAGTTGCGCCTTGTGAGCTGAATTCGCTTGTATTAAATTCTCGCGAAGTTTACTGACTTGCTTTTCCAAATCGTTAATCGTCTATAACATTTTTTCGTAGTCAAATTATGAATAAACGTTCAATTCTGAAAAATAGAAAGATATACTGATTACTAACTTTACTATCTCTTGATGCACAGTCTGCGGCTTTCGCTTCTTGCTCTGACAGAGCTTTCCGGAATTTTTCAGCGATGACTTCCTATTAATAATTAAATTAAAAATTGTTATAATTTATAATGTAGTGATACATTTATCAGCAGGTAATTTCACTCATATTATTATGATGAAGTTTTGGACTGTTTCTTTTCCGATAGCGCCATTAATGGAGTACAATAATCCACTACAACAACATAAAATAATAATTACCTTTTCACGTTCCATTTCGCGCATAAGTTTATCTTTTTCTTTATGACCTTCTCGCATAAGTTGTAGCTTATCTTGCTCGCAGCTGGCCCTCAGTTCTGCCATCTTACAAGATAGAAAATGGAAATTTAGACTTTATTTAGTTTTCTGTAAAGTCTGATAACTAATATTTGTATCTATAAAATAGCATAAATTAGTGTTAGGAGTGTACTTCAGTCTCATATCTTCTTCTTCTTTCTTCTAATTGTTTCTTATATTCTTCCTTTTGCTTTTCTCGGGCTAATTTGGAACGTTCAAGATCTTGTTCAACTGTAGCCATCTACAAATGGTGTATTAATAGCACGAATGATCATTTTAAGTATTCAATTTTTTAATTTAATTTAAGTATGAATCATCGGTTAGTAATACTTTTTAATACTAGAACATTATTAGGAATTCTAATCATTAGACTATGAATGTCCTTTAATAAAAATTAGAATTCAGCCTAGAATGTGATAACAACAGGTTCAAATGGAATCCACATAAATCACTTATGTTGAAATGTACTCAAGGTCATTAATTGCTATATAGATATCCTAGTTAAAGATCCTAAGCAATTTGCAAATCAGATATTAACAAGCTAGATTTTGGAGTCAGTAAATTCTTTGGTAATTGCATGGAAATAAACCTGTTTCTTCATTTCATCAAAGATTTGTTCAGAATGATTTTCCATTTGAATTTTAAATTCTTCCAAAGTTCTTTCTGCTTCTTCTGTTTGCATGCGTTGTTGTTCAGATAACCTCTTTAATTGCTCTTCACGTTCCCTGTTTTGGATAGTCGCATCAATTTTAAAATAATTTTAATACTTTGATCAATTTTAGCTTAGTCCGCTACACAAAGTAGATAACTTTGGGTAAACTTTAAAATTGTAACAGATTTATAAATTTATGCTATAACCTTATATCTCCTTCTAGCTTCTGATAATTCTTTTGAGCATCAATACGCTGTTGTTCAATTTGATTTTGCATGGTTTGGATCTAAGATAGGATATTAAATTACATTACTTGACCTATAGTTTTATTTCATGCATTATATCCTCCTAAATTCTACACAATCAGTGTAATCGGATCGCCATTATTAATGATCACATAAGTATATAAGAAATGAACATCCATGATAATATTTCCGATTGACTCATCAGGCTGTAACTAGTTCAGGAAAGCCCAAGATCTAGCGATCGATTCTATTATTGTATTACTAATTCAATCATTATAAACTGAAAGATTTCTGCCGATTACGAATATTCTAAGCAGGGACAATCTTGCCAATCATTTCTGACCTT